TCATAATGAATACTTTTGATACCTATCAATCATATGCTTTGGCCTTTGGCGTAACACTGTAGAGGGGTTGATAGAAAGTAATATGTGACTGAAATAATATTAACGAATGGTAGACGCTATGCGTTTATTATTATTAATGATATCAAAAGTTAGTTGTGCTTTAATGTGACTATTGAATATGCACTGGATTAGGCTTGGTAAGGATTTTAGTGGCTGATTATAGAAAGAAATTTACATATACAGGGTGTTCCTTATTGATATGCGAATATGTCAATCTACATGAAAAATTAATTTTAGTTTGCTTTATAAACTACGGTCCAAAAATGTCTCCTTACAAAAACTCGGGGTGTTGAAGTTTTAGGAAAAAAATGGAAATTAATTAATATTTTCAGAACCGCTTCAGATATTTCACTGATATTTAGTACGTAGTGAAAGTTAATAAAGTTGCATATTTTTCAATTGAAAAATAATTTTTAGCTTTAACAGTAGCTTGCGTGCGGGTATTGACTTCAATATTTCTTAAGAAAAAAATTGTACGCCAAAGGTTTTTTGCCAAATAAAATTATTTTTGAATTTCCAGTTCAATTTAAAAGAAACTACCTCTCTGGAATTGTTTTCCTTGGATGCGCCATTTTTAAACCGTTCTATTGTCCGAGAAAATTAATGTAATAATTGAAGTATGCAATTTAGCAATAAATATCTAGTTGCCCTGGTATATGTCACTGGCTTTTGACATCTGACAAGTCTCTGTTATTCAAATCTGTTCGCTGTCACATCTTTTCATTATTCAGTTTTTACAATGTTGTTAATAATGGTAAATTATTCAAATGCAGAAATGGCGGAAATGCATTACGTATATGGCCTTGCCGACGGTAATAGTGAGCAAGCCAGACGGATTTATGACCAGAGATATCCCGATCGTGCTTTGCCAGCCAGTCGGACATTTTCTAATATTCATCGTCGACTTGTTGAAACTGGTTCTGTCCGAAAAGGAACATCTGAAGGTAGACCTCTAAGTGTGAGAACACCTGAAATTGAGGAAGCAGTGCTGCACGAAATCGAAGAACATCCTGAAACGAGTACAAGGAAGATCGCTAGACACTTAAATATACTAAGTGACATATAAATCCGAACAACCCAGTTTAAATGGTTTTATTTTAATAAAATTTTGTATAAGTAGGTACTTAATGAAGCATAATAAGTAAATGATAAAAATTTCAAAATAATTGCACTGCTTTAAAGCCCTTTGACCTTCAATAATGTGTGGATGCACCCTGATGTGCTACGCATTCTCCAATGCGCCTAGGCATGCTTCTGATCAGGTGGTCAATGTCCTCCTGTGGTATCTCATTCCAGGCAACCACCAACTACTCTCGAAGTGCTACCCATCATATCCCACACGTGCTCAATTGGGGATAAGTCGGGAGATCTTGGTGGCCATGGTAACAATGTGACATCATTATGTTGAAAGAAGTCTATTGTGACTCTTGCAATATGTGGTCGGGCATTATCTTGTTGAAAAGTTGGATCTGCCAGGGAGTCAAGATAGGGTAAAAGATCGGGTTCTAGAACTTCGTGGATATAACGCTGCGCGTTCATGTTACCTCTGATGAAGATTGAAGGTGACTTGGAACCATAAGCTATAGCACCCCAAACCATAACTCCAACAGTGTGATGAACATGTCTTTCAACAAAAAACTGTGGATTCCTCCTTTCACCACGTCGCCTTCTAACCCTGGCACGACCATCGTGCATGCCTAAACAAAATCGAGACTCGTCACTAAAGACAATACTGTTCCATTCCTGATCCCAGAGTGACCGTTGTCTGCACCACTCAAGGCGATTCCGTCGGTGTTCTCGAGTTAAAGGGAGGACCCAGTGTGGCCGGTATGAAAACAAGCCAAAACTTCCCATTCCTCGGTAAACACTTCGCATGTCAATAGGTCTTCCGTGTTCTGCAAACAAATTCATTTGCAATGGACCTGGTAGCGGAGAAACGGTCCCTTAAGGCCAATAATCTTAGGCGGCGATCTTCACGGTCTGTTGTTCTACGGCGGCATCCAGTGCCCCTTGTTCTTTGCGTACGGCCTTCTAGAAGCCATGCCTGACAACACCTAACCACAGTGTCTACACTTCTTTGCACTCTAACTGCAATTGCCCGAAAAGAAAGTCCAGCTTCCCGAAGTCCCACTATACGGCCCCTATCAAACTCACTAAGTTGACGAAATCGTACAGGTCTCCGTACTCTAGGCATCGTAACCGATCGTTAAGGATGTCAAGAACCAAAATCCGCCAACGTTGATTCTTTACTGCGGCTGAAATATTCATTTTTAGAGCGTTAGTGAATTAAAAAAAAGCAGTATAAAAACCGGAATGTCCAACTGATAAGGCTGAAAATTTGTTCACTTGTTATTTACAGTAAGATAAATACATTCACCAACTTTTATTAAAATAAAACCATTTAAACTGGGTGTTCGGATTTATATGTCACTTAGTATAATTTTGCAAGTTAGACAATAGAACGGTTTTTAATTTTTTTGAAGGACAACAGTTCAAGAGAGATTTGTTTTAAATTGAACGGGGAATTCAAAAACAATTTTTATTTAGCAAAAACCATTGGCGTACCATTTTTTTTAAATATCGAAGTCAATACCCTTATGCACGCCACTGCTGATGCTAAAAATTATTTTTGCATTGAAAAATATGCAACATTATCAACTTTCACTACGTACTAAATAGCAGTGAAATATCTGAAGCGGTTCTGAAAATATTAATTAATTTCCATTTTTTTAATAAAACTTCAACACCCCGAGTTTTTGCAAGGAAACATTTTTGGACTATAGTTTATAATGCAAAGTAACATTAATTTTTCACGTAAATTCATACCCTTAAATATTCGCATATCATTAAGGAACACCCTGTATAAAAAAATTGTGTGAAAGTGAAAAACATATAATTTGTGTGTATTTTTATGAGAAAATTATGCACAGGATTTGTTTTTAATTTTGAGTCATCCGTAATGTGTATCAAGTATCCAATAAAAAGATGTTCTTTTAGTTCGTGTCTAGAGTTCAAAATAGCCTAAAAAGTTTCACGTGTGTATCAGCATTTGATATCGTATTCCTTGTTTGTTAGAACTCAGTTGGCAGTGTTATTAGCTATGATACAAGAAAATCTGTTCAGCCAGTTGTACAAGGTTTGTCGCAAAGTAAACAAGACAAAGAAAATAATGAACAAACATTTCTTGCTTCGGAAAATCGAATTTATTTTGTTCAGAATAGTCGCCTTCAAAGTTAATACAGCGATTTGCATGGACTAAAATATACTAAGTGACATATAAATCCGAACACCCAGTTTAAATGGTTTTATTTTAATAAAATTTTGTATAAGTACTTAATGAAACATAATAAGTAAATGATAAAAATTTCAAAATGATTGCACTGCTTTAAAGCCCTTTGACCTTTAATAATGTGTGGATGCACCCTGATGTGCTACGTATTCTCCAACGCGCCTAGGCATGCTTCTGATCAGGTGGTCAATGTCCTCCTGTGGTATCTCATCCTAGGCAACCACCAACTCCTCTCGAAGTGCTTCTAGAGTCTGAGGAGGACGTTGCAAATTGAGCAATCTCCTACCCATCATATCCCACACGTGCTCAATTGGGGATAAGTCGGGAGATCTTGGTGGCCATGGTAACAATGTGACATCATTATGTTGAAAGAAGTCTATTGTGACTCTTGCAACATGTGGTCGGGCATTATCTTGTTGGAAAGTTGGATCTGCCAGGGTGTCAAGATAGGGTAAAAGATGGGATTCTAGAACTTCGTGGATATAACGCTGCGCGTTCATGTTACCTCTGATCAAGATTAAAGGTGACCTGGAACCATAAGCTATAGCACCCCAAACCATAACTCCAACAGTGTGATGAACATGTCTTTCAACAAAAAACTGTGGATTCCTCCTTTCACCACGTCGCCTTCTAACCCTGGCACGACCATCGTGCATGCCTAAACAAAATCGAGACTCGTCACTAAAGACAATACTGTTCCATTCCTGATCCCAGAGTGACCGTTGTCTGCACCACTCAAGGCGATTACGTCGGTGTTCTCGAGTTAAAGGGAGGACCCAGTGTGGCCGGTATGAAAACAAGCCAAAACTTCTCATTCGTCGGTAAACACTTCGCATGACAATAGGTCTTCCGTGTTCTGCAAACCATTCATTTGCAATGGACCTGGTAGTGGAGAAACGGTCCCTTGAGGCCAATAATCTTAGGCGGCGATCTTCACGGTCTGTTGTTCTACGGCGGCGTCCAGTGCCCCTTGCTCTTTGCGTACGGCCTTCTCGAAGCCATGCCTGACAACACCTAACCACAGTGTCTACACTTCTTTGCACTCTAACTGCAATTGCCCGAAAAGAAAGTCCAGCTTCCCGAAGTCGCACTATACGGCCCCTATCAAACTCACTAAGTTGATGAAATCGTACAGGTCTCCGTACTCTAGGCATCGTAACCGATCGTAAAGGATGTCAGGAACCAAAATCCGCCAACGTTGATTCTTTACTGCGGCTGAAATAATCATTTTTAGAGCGTTAGTGAATTAAAAAAAAGCAGTATAAAAACCGGAATGTCCAACTGATAAGGCTGAACATTTTTTCACTTGTTATTTACAGTTAGATAAATACATTCACCAACTTTTATTAAAATAAAACCATTTAAACTGGGTGTTCGGATTTATATGTCACTTAGTATATTTTCAAACTCATTGACCGGGTTGTCGACGCCTTTTGGATAGCTTCTACGTCGGCTTACGGCCGTTGGTTAATTTCGTGCAAAAGCAGTGACATCTATGGTAGAATATTTTATTTAAGACGAGAACCAGCTAAATAATTATTACAGTCCAAAAAATACGCAAATAATTCAAGTTAGTGGAAATACTAATAATAAATAGATGAAGATCTTGAATAACAATACAATGTTTCAATTCTCCTATTCTGTATTTCAGCTATGAGTGCCATAACGGCGCCCCTATATGGATTAGGGGCGGCAGCCGCTTCCAACGTGGCCATGTTCCTGCCAGCTTTAGTTGCTGCAATAGCCTACTTTCAATATGAAGAACTGGATCCTGAAAGTAGGGCTATAAACGTCCCGGAAGATGATCTACTAGAAAGATACGACTTTATCATTATAGGAGCAGGATCTGCAGGTATAAATATATTAAGTGACATATAAATCCGAACACCCAGTTTAAATGGTTTTATTTTAATAAAAGTTGGTGAATGTATTTATCTTACTGGAAATATTCAGCCTTATCAGTTGGACATTCCGGTTTTTATACTGCTTTTTTTTTAATTCACTAACGCTCTAAAAATGAATATTTCAGCCGCAGTAAAGAATCAACGTTGGCGGATTTTGGTTCTTGACATCCTTTACGATCGGTTACGATGCCTAGAGTACGGAGACCTGTACGATTTCGTCAACTTAGTGAGTTTGATAGGGGCCGTATAGTGGGACTTCGGGAAGCTGGACTTTCTTTTCGAGCAATTGCAGTTAGAGTGCAAAGAAGTGTAGACACTGTGGTTAGGTGTTGTCAGGCATGGCTTCGAGAAGGCCGTACGCAAAGAGCAAGGGGCACTGGACGCCGCCGTAGAACAACAGACCGTGAAGATCGCCGCCTAAGATTATTGGCCTTAAGGGACCGTTTCTCCACTACCAGGTCCATTGCAAATGAATGGTTTGCAGAACACGGAAGACCTATTGGCATGCGAAGTGTTTACCGACGAATGAGAAGTTTTGGCTTGTTTTCATACCGGCCACACTGGGTCCTCCCTTTAACTCGAGAACACCGACGTAATCGCCTTGAGTGGTGCAGACAACGGTCACTCTGGGATCAGGAATGGAACAGTATTGTCTTTAGTGACGAGTCTCGATTTTGTTTAGGTATGCACGATGGTCGTGCCAGGGTTAGAAGGCGACGTGGTGAAAGGAGGAATCCACAGTTTTTTGTTGAAAGACATGTTCATCACACTGTTGGAGTTATGGTTTGGGATGTTATAGCTTATGGTTCCAGGTCACCTTTAATCTTCATCAGAGGTAACATGAACGCGCAGCGTTATATCCACGAAGTTCTAGAACCCCATCTTTTACCCTATCTTGACACCCTGGCAGATCCAACTTTCCAACAAGATAATGCCCGACCACATGTTGCAAGAGTCACAATAGACTTCTTTCAACATAATGATGTCACATTGTTACTATGGCCACCAAGATCTCCCGACTTATCCCCAATTGAGCACGTGATGGGTAGGAGATTGCTCAATTTGCAACGTCCTCCTCAGACTCTAGAAGCACTTTGAGAAGAGTTGGTGGTTGCCTGGAATGAGATACCACAGGAGGACATTGACCACCTGATCAGAAGCATGCCTAGGCGCGTTGGAGAATGCGTAGCACATCAGGGTGCATCCACACATTATTAAAGGTCAAAGGGCTTTAAAGCAGTGCAATCATTTTGAAATTTTTATCATTTACTTATTATGCTTCATTAAGTACTTATAAAAAATTTTATTAAAATAAAACCATTTAAACTGGGTGTTCGGATTTATGTCACTTAGTATACTATTTTATAATGTGAACTCAAATGAAAGCAGTACTTTCGAACTCTTACACCACTGAGGATTGTCATCACTCGAACATCGTGTTTTGACGTTTCAAAGGCTTCTGATCATTTTCACACACATTTTTGTAAGGGTTTAAAACCGGGGGTTGCGACGTGAGGGAGGATATATCGAAATTGTTTGATGTTAGTATATTTATACGCTCCTAACCCCGGTAATTTTATGCACCTATTAGCTATATCTCACACAACTTAGATTTCCCCGTAAAACAAAGCCCACCGCCCGGCGCACCGATATGACTGAATTACTGCAAAGCACAAAACATATAAACGGAAAGAACGATATCGGAGGGCAACGTTGCCAGATGGATGTTAACTACCGGTAGGGCAGGGGAATAATGTTTACGGACCAATTGCATGGGCCTGTTTGACTGACTTGAATCATTTTAATTTCTTTGTTATTATATGTTCGTAACTGTTTTTTTATCAGAAGGTTTAAATTGCGCTGAACTGATGACGGAGTTGATGTAATTTTTTTGTGCGGCATTGAACAACAATTAATTTTCTACTACTTCTGATATAATCAAATATCACGAATTTTGCAAGCATGCAAATGTTTCTGTAACTTGCTCCTCCTTAATAGTCGGATAGTGCCGAAGAATCGAAGACTTTCAATATTTGCCCTCAATTTTTGATCTTGTCGATAACCTTGACGATATTCAAATTGCGGACATGGGATTTCATTTAGAAATTCTTTGAATAATCGCGATATTGGAATCCTTCGTATAGCTTTTTAGACCATCATAGGGCCACGCAGCTTTTAGGATCATTATGATTTTGTATTACAGTAGTATCGGGTTTTCCAATAGGGACTTGACGACTTTGAACTTTCACTGTGGACGCACCTTTAAATCAATTACCCAACTGTCAATGTCAAAATATTCAGTAAAGAAAACATTTTCATTTCATCCTGATGACATTCGCAGAGCGAGGAATCTTGTTCATGAAGTAAGAAATGCTGTCCATGAATTCCGCAATGAGCAATGGAACGATTTGCTGCCGGGGATGCTCGACTCAAGTGCTCTTCTCTGGAAAGTGGAGAAGTTGCTCAGAAACGGAAAGCGAGAACAAATCCCGCACATCCACGGTCCTGGGGACATAGTCTTCAGGACAGGACAAGGTCGAGGTTTTCGCTGACGCTATGGAACGACAGTTCTATCCCAACTATGATCTTGATAATGATCTCGACGAGGAGCAACAAATCGTAAGATCCGTCAGGAGATATTTAAGGGCCAACGGCGTCAGTGATCCCGGAGCCGCCATTAGTGATTCTTCCTCAGAAGATTCTCTTTCGGAAAATTCTTCAGCTGAAGAGTTGCGCAGCACATCGGCGGCTTCTCCCGAGATCCCGCATTGCACACCAGCAGAGCTTCAAGGTCATATTAAAGACCTCAAGGTGCTGAAAGCGCCTGAGGAGGATCAAATCACTAATAAGGCGCTGAAGTTGCTTTCACGGAAGTCCCTGACTTATCTCGTGTCTATTATCAATGCCATGCTAAGGACCCAGTACTTTCCATACGCGTGGAAGACTGCGGAAGTTATAACGATTCCAAAGAAGGTGGGTTCGATATTTCCCCAGGACTATCGTTCCATCAGCAATCACCTTGCGAATTTCTCGTCAGATCACCACGTGATTCCTGACGTGCAATTTCGATTTCCGTCTGAGCATAGTACGGCATCTTGCTTCTGGATGTCTCGAAGGCATTTGACAAGGTGTGGCACAAGGGCCTTCTCTATAAAGTAATTCAAAAAGGATTTCCATTTTGGCTCCTAAAACTTCAAAATTAATAATTTCTTGTCGACAGTACGGCCCATCAGGGCCGGCGTGCCTCAGGATTCGGTTCTAGGGCCAATCCTTTACTCATTTTTGATCCATGATGTCCCTTGCCCCAGCGACTGTGAAGTCTATCTATATGCTGATGACACTGCACTTGTGGCCCAGTCGCGTACCGGGACTCTGGTTCACGACAGGTTACAAAGTGCGGTGGATGAGGTATTGGAATGGGCAGATCGGCGGCTAATGAAAATTAATTACTCGAAAACGCAGGCTATCTATTGTACTAAAAAACGTAGGGCGCCCCGTCTGAGGTTTCAGTGAATGGAGCTCGCGTACCATGGGGAAATTCTGCTAAGTATCTCGGTGTCACTCTTGACAAGGGGATGACCTGGCATAATCACACTGAAGCGTTAAAAACTAAATTCCAAATTACGTTTCGGCAACCCTTTACTGTGTAGAAAATTAAGTTTGGTTAACAGGGTTCGGCTATACAAGACGGTTACCAGACCAGCAATCACTTACGCATGTGCAGCATGGTGTTTTCTTGCCAAAACGCATATGCGTAATCTGCAGGCTATGCAGAACAGAACCTTGCGAACCATCACTAACGCACCATGGTACGTCTCCAACGAGACCATTCACAGAGACCTCGACATCCCTTACCTAAGGGACTACATCAAACATCAGGCGCAGTTACGTTGTAGTCAAGCGGAATCGCACAGCAACCCTCTGTTATAAGTCAGTAGACTACACAGTCGAGCAAGTTCGCAAGCACCCAAGACCGCGGCTCGCACTGTGATCAAAATCAAATCGTACAATTCTATATCCAACCAAAATTACGATGTTTGCCAAACAAATTTTTGGATTAATTTAAATTAACCGAACAACGCCTACAAATAATTAAAATTTACTACCGAAGTCCCCAGTGTCACTGAGTGCAACTTTACGAGCGTTAACGCCAATTTTGGTCGTAATTCTCGTCTCAGTAGACGCTGCTGGATGTTCCCGTGTCAGTGGGACAATGGTTGGGGGAATATTGCTGCCGTTCAAGCTTCCGTAGCAAATGAACAGAACGGCGTTCTCAAGAATTGGGCATCGCTCAGACCACATTATGGCGAATTTTGAGAAGAAAGTTGTCAAGTCCTTAATGGAAAACCCTTTAGCTTTGATGGTATCCCTATGCAGCAGATCAAGGCCCTTGCCTCTTCTTTTTGATATCGTGCTTCTTTTAGGTTTTTTTTAAGTGAATCGATTTAAACTATTAGCATTTCTAGGTGCTGTGGTTGCGAGCAGGCTCAGCGAAATCTTCAATTGGAAAATACTACTTTTGGAAGCAGGCGGAGATGAAACGGAAATATCGGATGTACCAGTCATGGCAGCCTACCTACAGTTATCTTCACTGGATTGGAAATATAAGAGCGAACCGTCAGGGAAAGCATGCTTAGGTTCGTGAATCTTTCAACCCACTATACTATAACTATCTAAAACTGTAATGACTCATCGATGTTCACGTGAACATCACTTAACTACCAGTAGTCGGCTGTTCATAGGCGGGGTATGAATGTTTAACATGGGTGAACTAGATTTGTCACATGCTTAATAAAGAGTGGTTTGAAACATATTGTAAGTGGAATTACCTTTATTCATCGTCGCTTCCACTTACATCTGACAGTAATAAACTGTCGCTATCGCCTTCTTCGTTGAAATTGACTATAACTGGCTCTATGATGGTGTCGATGTGGGGGTCAAGCTGCCACATTTTTGTTTCTTCCTTCACAACATGACGGATAGCATTCTGCCAAGCTTCGGGCGTTACTAGCTGTATGGAAGTCTCAAGTAAAACCTTAACGTCTGGTAATTTGAAGGTTGTGTTATGGCGCGCAATATAACCCTTCACTTGAGCCCAGATGAGCTCTATTGGGTTCAGTTCACAGTGGTAGGGCGGTAACCGCAGCACAGTGACACCACATTGACGGGCCATCTCATCAGTCACGTAACTAATGTTCGCAGGTTTGTGCTGTTTATTTTTTTCATACAATTCTGCTCTCACACATGAATCGTCAAACGGGATTCCTTTTTCGCGCAACCATTGCTGCATGTCACTTTTTCGAGATCCCATAGTCGGTACATGTTCGGCTCGACGACTATGGTAGGAAGCATTATCCATGACGATCACAGAGTTGGGCTCAACTCGCTGAAGCACCCCTTGAAACCAGCTCTCGAAGCAGCTGGCATTCATTTCGTCATGGTAATCACCTCCTTTCTTAGAGACGAAAATCAAGTCACACTCTTCTAAAAAGCCACTATCGCTACCAATATGAGTTACGATCAGTCTTTGACCTTTCCCTGACGGTCCACGAAGACCTGTTGACAAACCTTCAATGCTTGCTTGTCGGTTACTCACTAAGTTTTGGTTTATCCAGGTTTTTTTAACTGTGTGACCTGCGTTTACCCATGTCTCGTCCAAATAATAGATTTTTCTGCTTTGTCGCCTATATTCAATCATTTCGCGTAGGTATTTTCGACGCCAGGCGACTATTTCAGGTCTCTCTATCAATACTGACTTCCGATTACGCGTTTCGTAACGAAAATTAATTTCGTGCAGGGATTTCCTCATTACCTTGACGCTCATTTGGGGTATAATTTCATTTTCCTTGATCGCTGCATGTATAGCCTTGAGGGTTGGTATCTCATTCAAAGAAGAATGAATGTACGGTTCGCCTTAACGCCATTTTGCTATCGTCAACCAATTTAACGGCCTTTCGTCCCTTCAAATTAAACTTTGGATCAGTAGTAGCTCCAGTTTTCTTCTTTTCATGCACCACCCTGCGAATGGTCCACTCTGGAACGCCTGTCATACTTTCACAACGCGCGAGTGCATCTCCTTGCGACATAGTTCTGTTCAGATAATTGAACACGTTGAGCACGATTTCTTTCGCGTCCCTCTTCAGTGCTTTACGAAGCCGTCTACTTGTTCCCTGGCTTTCAGTACTTCCACTCGTGCCATTTGTACTCTCCATGGTTAAGTATAACCAAAACAGTAACCACAGAAACAATAACAATCACACAACAATTCTTGTAAAAACACACAATATGCGATCGCTCAACGAAACACGTTCCAATGCGTTGCCGACGCCTATGAGTCTGCCGGTCGAGGCGCGCCTTGATTTCATTGGTTCTACCGGCGGAGAACAATCAGCCATTATTTCCATCTCTGTCTGTGCTGTTGACCACCGCAAAGCCACATGAACGACATATATGTCGTACGCTATACGGCTGTACTGGAAGGAAGCCGGGATCGAGCTCTGATCACGTGTTGATCACGCGTATGAGTCATTACAGTTTTAAATAGTTGTAGTATAGCAGTGTTCACAAAGCGTATATCGGTTTCAGTTTCAAAAACTTATAATATACAGAGAGTCCTAAGATGAGATGCATATACGAGGTCTGTAAATTAACCCCGAAACTCCAATATCCCTCTGGTCGGTTACAGCTGTTTGAAAGTTTTAGACTGTCCCAAAACGATTTCCTTTGAGATGATTTTTCAACTTCGGGAAGAGAAAAAGTCACAAGGACTCTAGTCCCGCGAATGAGGAGGCCGAGGAGCCACAGGGATGTTCTCACCGACCAAAAACCCGTTTATTGACATTGCTGTTTGACAAGGAGCATTATAGTGATGCTACACCCAGTTGTTCTTGATCTGATGAACGGTGGTGTGCAATATTTAACTCATCCCCGATCATTCTGACTGTCAACCGATGACCTGAACGCACAAGACTTCGAGTTCTGTCGATATTATCATCGGTTCTAGAAGATGAAGGCCTTCCGCTTCGTGGTTCATCTTCAATCCACCCTTTCCCCTCCGAAAATGCTTTAAACCACCGAAAAACCCGGGTTCTTGACAAAATACTATCTCCGAGGCCTGCTAGAGTTCAGCAAAAGTTGCCGTTGAACTGGGCCCAACTCTGAAGCAAAACATGCTGGCACGTCGTTACTTGAAATTGAACATAACAGAGTAAAGCATCCCACAAACCGGCGCGAAATAATCGCGGCGAAGTATTCGCAACGAAATTCAGAGCGAAATTCGCAATCTGTTTCGCCTGTTTAAGCATCCCACAAACCGGCGCGAAATAATCGCGGCGAAGTATTCGCAACGAAATTCAGAGCGAAATTCGCAATCTGTTTCGCCTGTTTATTCATACCAAAGCGTCTTATTCGCTCCGCGAACGTGAAGGTTTCGACAGGTTGCGTACATTTTATTTTTGCCTTTTGCAATGAGCTCGACTTCAGAAGAAGAGGAGGCACTTCTATTTCTTGCTTTAGAAGAGGAACAAAATACACGGTAAGTTATGTTTATTTAACGCCATTTGATAGTTGGGTATATATTAAGTTTAACGAAGTACATAAAACAAATATTTTCAATTTTGTTTAGGAAACGAAGGAAGTGGGTACATGATATTAACTTGGAACGAAATAAATTTGGGGAATACCATACCTTGATGCCACAACTTCGGCTGGATGAACAGCGCTTTTACGTATATTTTAGAATGACTCCAGAGTCTTTCGATGAAATATTGAACTTGGTGGAAGATGAAATACGAAAATCTGACACAAATTATCGTGAAGCTATTTCGCCAGAAGAACGACTTGCTATTACACTCAGGTAAAAAAATTATATGTATGTTAGTAGGCTTATCGAATACGAAAACTTCAGGGATCGTGAAATAAATATTTTATTGTAATAATTGGACTACATGTTGCCACTGGGATTAAATGTTGCTAAATAATTCGAGGCAGAATTTGCCTCCTCTGTTGGGTATATTATTGGAGTAAACCCAGTGCCGCTTGGGAAGGACGACGTACTACAACTATCATACATACTTGCTTCAATATGTTCAAATTCTTCGTGCGCTATTAATTCGGCTATTTTTAGTTTTATTCGGGCTTGACGCTTTAAGGGAAGTGTTTTCACAGTCTGTGCATGTGCCAAGAAAAGTGAATCAATGGCCTCGTTCTCTTTTTTAGATTTTTTACCTTCAAAATAATCAATGAGCTGTTGTACAGACGAAGATGGTGGTTCATAGCGTTTTCTGCTCGTTTTATATTTTGGTGTAGTTGCAGTCTGCGGAAAGGTGTGCCCTGGAGTAGTCACTGCTGTAGTGTTCAATGAAGAAGGTGGTGCTGTCTGTGTGGCCGCGGCGTTCTGTGCATCTTCTGCATCTACATCAGCATTTTAATCTTCTCCATGGCCGCGGTCTTCCAAATTTTCGGTTTCCAGCCCTTTCCTGATATATATTTGAGTTAAATTCGGCAGTCTCATAATGTATGACGTCAATATCTTTCACATTAGACGACGTTTTGGCAAATGCCAAAAAAGGACGGAAAAATTCCATGTAGTGAGCCCACTGCCATTTCTTTATGTTGCCCACTGCTTGGCCGGTCTTTGGTTTGGTAGATTTTATATATTTTGCAAATGTGTCTCTGATATTCTTCCACCTTTTTTTTACTTCATCACCTAAAAACGATTTTTTTATAGATTCCTTGCCACTGGTGACACCTTCTATACCATTGGGCATAGCTTTCGAGTTGGCTTTACAACAGTGAGTGCAATCGTAACCGAAGTCTGTGAAGCGATATGCAGACATATGGAGCATATATATTTACCAGAACCAACAGAGAATATATGGAAAACCTAACAACAGTGGCTCCAATTACTGGTGCTGTTTACATAAATATTCAATAGTACTTATGGCCATTGTTGGCCCGGACTATAAATTTATATGTGTTGATATTGGTGGTTTCGGAAAAAATAGTGATGGGGGTATTTTCGAAACCTCAAACATGGGAAAACGATTTGAACAAAATTTAATGAGTGTCCCTGCACCTAGATTTCTCCCTGGGCAAAATGAAATCTGATCGTACGTCTTAATTGGTGATGAAGCATTTGCTTTAAAACCATACCTTATGAGACCATTTCCTTATAAGCAGACTTTAACAGATGTCAGAAAAGAGAAATACAATGTAAGACTTTGTCGAGCTAGAAGGGTCGTGGAAAATGCGTTTGGTATTTTGTCTCAAAAATGGCGAATATTTTACAGGCCATTAGAAACTAAAGTACGTATAGATACTACTATTCTAATTGTACGGCATGTGTTTTAAACAATTTTTTACGAAGTAAAAGTGGCGATGACAAATATTTTCAATTCTTAGATCCCCCAGAACCCGTGCTTGGAGCTTTTACTGATATAGCAAATGATCCTCGGCGGGTAGCAAGGCTAGCATTTTCTACTCGTGACAAATTTGTAAATTATTTTAATTCTGATATGCCTATGCCCAATATATAGAATGTTCGTTTTCACATTTGTGTAGACTGTAAATTATTTAACAAGTTAATAAAAAATATTAGGTACATACCATTTGTATTTAATTCTTTTCCTATGTCCATACAAATCTTGTCTTTCTTTCTCACATTCCTGTATTCATCGTTCGACAAATCATACAAACAAGGATACTTTTTCACTATTTCTATCAATAATTCCGTTTTTGCCATTGCGAATTATTGAAGAACGGCGTCAAAAACGCGGTCAAAGGCGAACTGAAATACGCCGCGATAAAATCGCTGGAACAATCGCATTCGCTTCGCACAAGTCTGAGCCTGTCCGTAAACCGCCGCGTTTTAATCTGATCGCGAATTCATCGCCGCGAAATTTTCGCAGCTAAAGCGAATATTTCGCGCCGGTTTGTGGGATGCTTTATTCATACCAAAGCGTCTTATTCGCTCCGCGAACGTGAAGGTTTCGACAGGTTGCGTACATTTTATTTTTGCCTTTTGCAATGAGCTCGTCTTCAGAAGAAGAGGAGGCACTTCTATTTCTTGCTTTAGAAGAGGAACAAAATGCACGGTAAGTTATGTTTATTTAACGCCATTTGATAGTTGGGTATGTATTAAGTTTAACGAAGTACATAAAATAAATATTTTCAATTTTGTTTAGGAAACGAAGGAAGTGGGTACATGATATTAACTTGGAACGAAATAAATTTGGGGAATACCATACCTTGATGCCACAACTTCGGCTGGATGAACAGCGCTTTTACGTATATTTTAGAATGACTCCAGAGTGTTTCGATGAAATATTGAACATGGTAAAAGATGAAATACGAAAATCTGACACAAATTATCGTGAAGCTATTTCGCCAGAAGAACGACTTGCTATTACACTCAGGTAAAAAAATTATATGTATTAAAATTAGTAGGCTTATCGAATACGAAAACTTCAGGGATCGTGAAATAAATATTTTATTGTAATAATTGGACTATATGTTGCCACTAGGATTAAATGTTGCTAAATAATTCGAGGCAGAATTTGCCTCCTCTGTTGGGTATATTATTGGAGTAAGCCCAGTGCCGCTTGGGAAGGACGACATACTACTATCATACATACTTGCAGAATTCTGGGTAGACGCTGAAGACATTTCTTCAATGAGTTCAAATTCTTCGTGCGCTATTAATTCGGCTATTTTTAGTTTTATTCGGGCTTGACGCTTTAAGAGAAGTGTTTTCTGTGCATGTGCCAAGAAAAGTGAATCAATGGCCTCGTTCTCTTTTTTAGGCTTTTTACCTTCAAAATAATTAATGAGCTGTTGTACAGACGAAGATGGTGGTTCATAGCGTTTTCTGCTCGTTTTATATTTTGGTGTAGTTGCAGTCTGCGGAAAGGTGTGCCCTGGAGTAGTCACTGCTGTAGTATTCAATGAAGAAGGTGGTGCTGTCTGTGTTGCCGAGGCGTTCTGTGTATCTTCTGCATCTACAGCAGCATTTTCATCTTCTCCATGGCCGCGGTCAACCAAATTTTCGGTTTCTACATTTCCAGCCCTTTCCTGATATATATTTGAGTTAAATTCGGCAGTCTCATAATGTATGACGTCAATATCTTTCACATTAGACGACGTTTTGGCAAATGCCAAAAAAGGACGGAAAAATTCCATGTAGTCAGCCCACTGCCATTTTTTTATGTTGCCCACTGCTTGGCCGGTCTTTGGTTAGGTAGATTTTATATATTTTGCAAATGTGTCTCTGATATTCATCCACCTTTTTTTTTACTTCATCACCTAAAAACGATTTTTTTATAGATTCCTTGCCACTGGTGACACCTTCTATACCATTGGGCATAGCTTTCGAGTTGGCTTTACAACAGTGAGTGCAATCGTAACTGAAGTCTGTGAAGCGATATGCAGACATATGGAGCATATATATTTACCAGAACCAACAGAGAATATATGGAAAAAATGTGCTGAAGAATTTGAAAATAGATGGGGATTCCCCAATTGCATTGGCAGCGTGGACGGGAAACATGTAACAATCAAGAGACCTAACAACAGTGGCTCCAATTACTGGTGCTATTTACATAAATATTCAATAGTACTTATGGCCATTGTTGGCCCGGACTATAAATTTATATGTGTTCATATTGGTGGTTTCGGAAAAAATAGTGATGGGGGTATTTTCGAAACCTCAAACATGGGAAAACGATTTGAACAAAATTTAATGAGTGATCCTGCACCTAGATTTCTCCCTGGGCAAAATGAAATCTGCTCGTACGTCTTAATTGGTGATGAAGCATTTGCTTTAAAACCATACCTTATGAGACCATTTCCTTATAAGCAGACTTTAAAAGACGTCAGAAAAGAGAAACACAATGTAAGACTTTGTCGAGCTAGAAGGGTGGTGGAAAATGCGTTTGGTATTTTGTCTCAAAAATGGCGAATATTTTACAGGCCATTAGAAACTAAAGTAGATACTACTATTCTAATTGTACGTGTTTTACACAATTTTTTACGAAGTAAATGTGGCGATGACAAATATTTTCAATTCTTAGAACCCCCCGAACCCGTGCTTGGAGCTTTTACTGATATAGCAAATGATCCTCGGCGGGCAGCAAGGCTAGCATTTTCTACTCGTGACAAATTCGTAAATTTGTGTAGACTGTAAATTATTTAACAAGTTAATAAAAAATATTAGGTACATACCATTTGTATTTAATTCTTTCCTATTTCCATCCAAATCTTGTCTTTCTTTCTCACATTCCTGTATTCATCGTTCGACAAATCATACAAACGAGGATACTTTTTCACTATTTCTATCAATAATTCCGTTTTTGCCATTGCGAATTTTTGAAGAACGGCGTCAAAAAGGCGGTCAAAGGCGAACTGAAATACGCCGCGATAAAAACGCTGGAACAATCGCATTCGCTTCGCACAAGTCTGAGCCTGTCCGTAAACCGCCGCGTTGTAATCTGATCGCGAATTCATCACCGCGAAATTTTCGCAGCCAAAGCGAATATTACACAGAATTTAATCGCGTACCTCTGCTCTACCGAACGCTGCATTTTCGGCTTGCACCACTCACAGAAACCCGTCGCGCGAAAATGCCTGTCCTGACTCTCCAAGTGCTCGGAGACAACTGACCAGCCGCTCGTTCGTTAGCTAGCATCCCACAAACCGGCGCGAAATATTCGCTTTGGCTGCGAAAATTTCGCGGCGATGAATTCGCGATCAGATTAAAACGCGGCGGTTTACGGACAGGCTCAGACTTGTGCGAAGCGAATGCGATTGTTCCAGCGTTTTTATCGAGGCGTATTTCAGTTCGCCTTTGACCGCGTTTTTGACGCCGTTCTTCAAAAATTCGCAATGGCAAAAACGGAATTATTGATAGAAATAGTGAAAAAGTATCCTTGTTTGTATGATTTGTCGAGCAATGAATACAGGAATGTGAGAAAGAAAGACAAGATTTGGATGGAAATAGGAAAAGAATTAAATACAAATGGCATGTACCTAATATTTTTTATTAACTTGTTAAATAATTTACAGTCTACACAAATGTGAAAACGAAAATTCTATATATTGGGCATAGGCATATCAGAATTAAAATAATTTACGAATTTGTCACGAGTAGAAAATGCTAGCCTTGCTGCCCGCCGAGGATCATTTGCTATATCAGTAAAAGCTCCAAGCACGGGTTCTGGGGGATCTAAGAATTGAAAATATTTGTCATCGCCACTTTTAATTTGTAAAAAATTGTGTAAAACACATGCCGTACGTACAATTAGAATAGTAGTATCTACTTTAGTTTCTAATGGCGTGTAAAATATTCGCCATTTTTGAGACAAAATGCCAAACGCATTTTCCACGACCCTTCTAGCTCGACAAAGTCTTACATTGTATTTCTCTTTTCTGACGTCTGTTAAAGTCTGCTTATAAGGAAATGGTCTCATAAGGTATGGTTTTAAAGCAAATGCTTCATCACCAATTAAGACGTACGAGCAGATTTCATTTTGCCCAGGGAGAAATCTAGGTGCAGGGACACTCATTAAATTTTGTTCAAATCGTTTTCCCATGTTTGAGGTTTCGATAATACCCCCATCACTATTTTTTCCGAAACCACCAATATCAACACATATAAATTTATAGTCCGGGCCAACAATGGCCATAAGTACTATTGAATATTTATGTAAATGGCACCAGTAATTGGAGTCACTGTTGTTAGGTCTCTTGATTGTTACATGTTTACCGTCCACGCTGCCAATGCAATTGGGAAATCCCCATCTATTTTCAAATTCTTCAGCACATTTTTTCCATATATTCTCTGTTGGTTCTGGTAAATATATATGCTCCATATGTCTGCATATCGCTTCACAGACTTCGGTTACGATTACACTCACTGTTGTAAAGTCAACTCGAAAGCTATGCCCAATGGTATAGAAGGTGTCACCAGTGGCAAGGAATCTATAAAAAAAATCGTTTTTAGGTGATGAAGTAAAAAAAAGGTGGAAGAATATCAGAGACACATTTGCAAGATATATAAAATCTACCAAACCAAAGACCGGCCAAGCAGTGGGCAACATAAAAAAATGGCAGTGAGCTGACTACATGGAATTTTTCCGTCCTTTTTTGGCATTTGCCAAAACGTCATGTAATGTGAAAGATATTGACGTCATACATTATGAGACTGCCGAATTTAACTCAAATATATATCAGGAAAGGGCTGGAAGAAAGAAACCGAAAATTTGGAAGACCGCGGCCATGGAGAAGATGAAAATGCTGATGTAGATGCAGAAGATGCACAGAACGCCTCGGCAACACAGACAGCACCACCTTCTTCATTGAACACTACAGCAGTGACTACTCCAGGGCACACCTTTCCGCAGACTGCAACTACACCAAAATATAAAACGAGCAGAAAACGCTATGAACCACCATCTTCGTCTGTACAACAGCTCATTAATTATTTTGAAGGTAAAAAACCTAAAAAAAGAACGAGGCCATTGATTCACTTTTCTTGGCACATGCACAGACTGTGAAAACACTTTCCTTAAAGCGTCAAGCTCGAATAAAACTAAAAATAGCCGAATTAATAGCGCACGAAGAATTTGAACATATTGAAGAAATGTCTTCAGCGTCTACCCAGAGTTCTGCAAGTAAAGTAAATGTATGATAGTAGTATGTCGTCCTTCCCAAGCGGCACTGGGTTTACTCCAATAATATACCCAACAGAGGAGGCAAATTCTGCCTCGAATTATTTAGCAACATTTAATCCTAGTGGCAACATGTAGTCCAATTATTACAATAAAATATTTATTTCACGATCCCTGAAGTTTTCGTATTCGATAAGCCTACTAATTTTAATACATATAATTTTTTTACCTGAGTGTAATAGCAAGTCGTTCTTCTGGCGAAATGGCTTCACGATAATTTGTGTCAGATTTTCGTATTTCATTTTTCACCAAGTTCAATATTTCATCGAAACACTCTGGAGTCATTCTAAAATATACGTAAAAGCGCTGTTCATCCAGCCGAAGTTGTGGCATCAAGGTATGGTATTCCCCAAATTTATTTCGTTCCAAGTTAATATCATGTACCCACTTCCTTCGTTTCCTAAACAAAATTGAAAATATTTGTTTTATGTACTTCGTTAAACTTAATACATACCCAACTATCAAATGGCGTTAAATAAACATAACTTACCGTGCATTTTGTTCCTCTTCTAAAGCAAGAAATAGAAGTGCCTCCTCTTCTTCTGAAGACGAGCTCATTGCAAAAGGCAAAAATAAAATGTACGCAACCTGTCGAAACCTTCACGTTCGCGGAGCGAATAAGACGCTTTGGTATGAATAAACAGGCGAAACAGATTGCGAATTTCGCTCTGAATTTCGTTGCGAATACTTCGCCGCGATTATTTCGCGCCGGTTTGTGGGATGTAATTCAGAATTTCCTGAAAATCCCAGAAACAATTTGAGCGAAATGAAAAAACATTTTTAGGAATTTGTTTAAAAACATTTTTGGGCACAAATTTGGGACTGGTAACGTGCAGATTCAAGGAGCTCTTTTTAAATAATATTATGCAAGAAATCCAAATCAAAATATGTTACCCAGCAGATGTCACGAAATGCACGTAGTTAACGACGCGACGTAAAGGGTCAGTAGTACCGTGTTTGGCAAGCTATTCATAGATGGCAGCACCACCTCTGTATGCTTCTTAATGTTTTTATTTTGATAGCCATGAACGGAGGACGATGCAACTGGCCTCGCGGAAAGGTGCTGGGTGGATCTTCCGTTTTAAACTACATGCTGTACCTGCGAGGAAACAAAAAAGACTACGACACCTGGGAACAAATGGGAAACCCAGGTTGGGGCTATAGAGAAGTGCTGAGATACTTCAAGAAATCTGAAGATAACAAGAACCCGTACCTGGCCAAAACAGGATACCATGGAACTGGAGGGTATTTATTTAGAATAAACATATACTCGTACATTTACTAAATAATTTGATGCAGTCTTATCAAGGTCAAGCTATCTTTTTCTTAACTCTCCTTTTTTCCCAATCTTCCTTAACCAGGCTAATAAGTGAAACCACAGATAACGAAAAAAGTATTGAATTTGTTATTTGTTGTTTTATTTATTAGACGAGGTCTATCGGAGAGACCATGGGACATCAATGCAATCAAAATAATTTTACTTTGTTATGATATTCGCAATACTTCAGTTTTTCGAGCGAAACTGTTTTTTGCAATCAACTATCAGATACAACTGACCAAAAAATAAGGTATTTGAAGTAGAATATTCCAAACATCAAAAAGTATTTTTATGATTTATTTAAAATCAGGTTTTTGACGGTGTCGGAAGCTCCCTATCATACTCCCTTGGTAGCTGCTTTCGTCGAAGGAGGGAAACAGTTGGGTTACCAGAACAGAGACATCAACGGACAATATCAAACTGGATTCATGATGGCTCAAGGTATTTTTTTAAATTTTTCATATTCAAAGTGTTAGACAAATTGTTCAAGAAAATACATCTTGATGTAAAATGCTCTCAAGTTAATGATAACACTGATCAACAGCCAAAAAATATCCTAAATAAAATCAACAAAAATTACTATTTTTAATGTGCTAAAACCGGAATGAAACTTATTTTTTCAATATTAGTTCAAGTTTTAGAGATACGGTAATTATATGTGTTCCTGCTGTGACAGTGTTAATATACTGTAATTCACAAGAATGCACGTGCTACATTTCTATATTCGGCAAGGAAAAATAATGTAATCGGGATGATTGTGTTACGTTATACATACGTGTACATTATATTGTTTTATATTAGCCATTTTTTCCTCAGTTGGCTGACAGCGTTCATGCAAGATGTCTCGAAAGTGTGTAAACAATCCAGATCAGTTTTGTTACGTGTGTGGTGATGTGACTTTTGCGTCTCAGAGACGGTCTATTACTCCACTAATAACAAAGGCATATCAGCTTTATTTCGGTTGTAAACTAGGTGATCAAGACAAACAGTGGGCACCCCACATCTGCTGTAATACATGTGCTTCAAGTCTGAGGAGCTGGTTAAATGGCAAAAAACGGTCTATGCGCTTTGCTGTCCCAATGGTTTGGAGAGAGCCTACAAATCATATGAATGATTGTTACTTTTGCATGGTACCTTGTGTTGGACAAGCCACAGGTATGTCCAAGAAAAAAAAATCGGTTATTAACTACCCAAACATACCATCTGCGATGAGACCTGTGCCTCACAGTGACGAAAATCCTATTCCAAAACCCCCAGAATCCTACACTTGCGAATCAGAAAACGAATCAGATCATGGCGATCGAGTGATTCGTCAGGAAGAAGATATGCCATCAACGGCAAGAGATCCTGATTTTATACCAAGCACGTCATGCCACCAACCGCACAAAATAACACAGTCAGAATTAAATGATCTTGTAAGAGATTTAGAACTTCCAAAATGTAAGGCAGTTACTTGGATCAAGACTGCAGCAGTGGAACTTGTTAGAAGACGATGTTTCGGTATGTGTTTTTCGTAAACGCCACAAAGACAGAACCATTTTTCAATATGGAGAATAAGTTGGTTTTCTGCAGTAACATTGACGGCTTACTGGCGGCTTTAAATATAAACTATAACCCAGAAGATGGAGATTGTTTATAGACAGTTCAACATTGAGTTTAAAGGCAGTGTTATTGCATATTGGAAATATTTTACCATCTCTTCCTGTAGGGTATGCAGTTCACATGAAAGAATCATATGACAATATGAAGTACCTATTGACATGCATAAAACACGATGAGCACCAATGGCATATTTGTGGCGATTTGAAAGTTGTTGCACTTTTACTTGGGCTGCAGCTAGGCTACACAAAGTTTTGCTGTTTTTTGTGTGAATGGGACAGTCGGGCAAAGGCACTTCATTACACCAGACAAAACTGGCCTGTTTGTCAGTTCCTAGAGCCAGGTCAAAAAAATGTACAGCATATGCCATTAGTAGATTCGAAAAAAAATTTATTACCACCACTGCATATCAAGTTGGGCCTAATGAAAAACTTTGTCAAGGCATTAGATAGAGATGGGTCAGCTTTTCAATACCTGCGTCAGAAATTTCCAAGACTAAGTGAGGCAAAGGTTAAAGAAGGTATTTTTGTTGGGCCCCAGATTCGAAATATTTTGAAAGATACACAGTTTGAAAACACTTTAACAGGTATTGAAAAAACTGCTTGGAATGATTTCCGTCCGGTGGTCACTAATTTCTTGGGAAATAGGAAAGCTGACAACTATAAAACCCTTGTCAAAAATATGCTGTCATCGTATCAAAAGATGGGCTGTAATATGTCTCTTAAGATACATTTCCTACACTCACACCTGGACTTTTTTCCTGACAATTGCGGAGCCGTAAGTGATTAGCACGGCGAACGTTTTCATCAGGATATTTCAACAATGGAAAAAAGGTACCAGGGAAAGTGGAATCCTTCCATGCTTGCAGACTACTGTTGGACTCTTGGTAGAGATGCTCCAGAAACGATGCATAAAAGAACAGCAAAAAGACAGCGCATATAGTGATTCTTATAAGTATATGAATCTTGTTACTTTTTTTAATATATCCTTAAAAATAAAAAGTTTTTTTCTAAACCGCAACTAATTTTTTTATTTCATTGT